AGGGTACAAGGGTCTTTCTGTTCTCACTTCGTTATACCTACTACATCCCTGGTGTTCCTTGTTTTGGGGGAATATCATCGGCTTTCCCTAAACCCTAAACCCTAAACCCTAAACCCTAAACCCTAAACCCTAAACCCTAAACCCTAAACCCTAAACCCTAAACCCTAAACCCTAAACCCTAAACCCCCAACCTCCGGCTTCTCGTAGCCATCCACGAGGAGGGCGAAGAACTGCGGATTTGCTTGGCCATACCTTCGTTCACTGTAGGGTTTAGGGTTTAGGGTTTAGGGTTTAGGGTTTAGTATAGGGTTTAGGGTTCAGGGTTTAAGCTTTAGGGGTCAGGGTTCAGGGTTCAGGCTGTAGGGATTTAGGATTCTTTACGCGAGCTGTGGGAGCAGCCAGCGCCTAAACTGCAACCATGGGAGAAGCAACCCACCTGAAATGAGCCCCAGCGGAGGACCTTCGAGGGTTTAGGGATTCCAGGGTTCTTAGGGGTGGAAGGGTTGAGGGTTTGTGAGCAATCCATATTTAACATGAGAACCTAGCTAAATAGAACTCTTCAACCCGGACCCTAAAGCCTGAAACCTGAAGCCTAAACGCCCTCTCCCTGCAGAAAACCCAATACTCATCAATTAATGGGTTTAGGGTTTCAAAACATAGAGCAGAAAAGAAAACCCAACGAACCAGGATCTGGTGTAGTCAGTAACGAACTATGATCTGGTGTAGTCATTAACCCTCATAAACCCTAATTCCCCGTGTGCCAAACCCTAAACCCTAAACCCCAAAACCTTTCAACCCAAAACTCACCCCCACCCCTACTACTTGGAAGCTCTTTCGACTTAGGAAGTCTACTTAGTATCGCCTAGAAACGCTATTCTAACCCCCCGTATCCCACATTGCTAACGCTGCCTACTAAGTCAAAAGGGCTTCCAAGTATCCTCTGTGCCTTCAGAGGGTTTAGGGTTTAGGGTTTAGGGTTTAGGGTTTAGGGTTTAGGGTTTAGGGTTTAGGGTCCCTACTAAGTCAAAAAAGGTCTTCCAAGTACCAGCGCCAGGACGAGCCACTCTTGGAGTGGATCTTCGTCCTCAAGGCCGCTACCCAATCGTACGACGGCACTGAACACCTGAGCTGGGGTTTTGGGGTTTGGGGTTTAGGGTTTAGGGTTTCGGGTTTAGGGACGGCTTAGAGTTTTGGAGTCTTTCGTGCTTTGGGGTTTTAGTTTTAGGGTTTGTTGTTGGAGTTTTGGGGTTTGTGGGGTTTGAAGTCTGGCGTTCAGAGCTTGGGGCTCGAGAGGTTTAGGAGTCGGGTCCAGGGCCCCCCAACTGTAAGGTGGAAAGGGTTGGGTTCAGAGGGCTTATAGGATTCAGACGATTTAGAGAGCTCAAAGGCTGTTCTTGGCGGGATTGCAGATTTTCGGGGGCTTACCGGATTTAGAGCGTTTCGGGGGCTGAAAAGATGTCGGATAAGGGGGGTTGTTGGTTTGTAGGGGTTCGCGGGCCGAGGGTGTTTTATGTTTTTGGCTTACGTAGTCTCAAGGGGCTTATACTCGGACCCCTACGGACGCCTAAACCCTAAACCCTAAACCCTAAACCCTAAACCCTAAACCCTAAACCCTAAACCCTAAACCCTAAACCCTAAACCCTAAACCCTAAACCCAAAAAACCCTAAACCCTAAACCCTAAGCCCCCTAAATTGCCTTAGGGGACCTTTAAGAGTCCTCAAACCCAAGGGTGCAACCTTGGGGGTCTGAGGCAGAGTCCCATGAGCTTAGGTTGTCAAATCTTCGAGGCTGGGGACTTCTAGCAGAGGGTTTAGGGTTTAGGGTTTAGGGTTTAGGGTTTAGGGTTGGGGGTTCAGGGTTAAGGGTTTAGGGTTTAGGGCTTAGGGAGCATAGGATTCCAACTTGGCGAACACCGAGGGCGCCGCAGTAACCACGTCATTGCGTACCTGCGCGCTTCGAACAAATCTCGCCGAGGGAAACATACTGAATATCGGGGGTTTAGGGTTTAGGGTTTTGGGTTTAGGGCTTCGGGTTTAGGGCTTAGGGTCCCAAACACTAATATGCACCTCCCCTTAACGAAGGACCCCAATAAGGTACCCCTAACATCGTAAACCCCCACTGGGCTTTTTGGGGGTTTAGGGAAGTTTAGGGCTACTGTCTATGGCTTAGATTCAATTTGTTCTGCAATCAGGAGACAGAAAGGCGTGATTTGACTTCCTGAAGAGGGGGCTGCGAAGAGGTTGTGTCGTCGAAAAATCCCGTTGAAGTGCATGGATACCTTGCTTCTCCAAGCAACGAAGGACCGAACAAGTCTAAACCCAAAACCCTAAACCCTAAACCGTGTATTAAGGGGAACCTTTAGGGGTACAACCTTAGGGATACGAGTCTGAATCCCTTGAACCCAAGCCAAGCAGCTTAAAACAAGAACTCTGAAGCTTCAGGTCAGTTCCTGATTTTTGGCCCGTTAGCCTGTACAAATGCAAAAAAAACACCCCAACAAATACAACACACTTCCATGAAACAACAAAACGACCTAAGAAACATATACCCCCACCCCCCTCCCCCCCCCCCTCCCCCGCCCGCCCCAGCCCAAAAAGACCAGAAACTCCGAACCTTAAACCTCTTTTCTCCCGTGAACTGACCCACGGGCTTAACCCGAATCCCGAAACCCGAAACCCCAAACCCCAAACCCCAAACCCCAACCCTTACAGTTGGGGCTTAGGTCTCAGGAGCAAACCCTAAATAACTCAGCCCGGCTGGCCCATGAAGCCTAAACCTCAAAAACCCTGAACCCTGAGCCCTAGACCCTAAGCCCTAAGCCCTAAGCCCTAAGCCCTAAGCCCTAAGCCCTAAGCCCTAAACCCTAAACCCTAAACCCTAAAACCCTAAACCCTAGCCCGGCTGGCCCCCCCAGCCGCCTCGAACTCAAGCTGGCCCAGGTGCGTCACTAGTCGCTTCGGGAGGTCGATCGCCAAAAACTGCACGGGTTTAGGAAACGGTTCAGGGTTTAGGGTTAGGGTTTAGGGTTTAGGGCTTAGGGCTTAGGGCTTAGGGCTTAGGGCTTAGGGCTTAGGGCTTAGGTTTTAGGGTTTAGGGTTTATTAGGGTTTAGGGTTTAGGTTTCAGGGTTCAGGGTAAAACTGCACGGGTTTAGGAAACGGTTTAGGGTTTAGGGTTTAGGGTTTAGGGTTTAGGGTTTAGGGTTTAGGGTTTAGGGTTTAGGGTTTAGGGTTTAGGGTTTAGGGTTTAGGTGTTAGGGTTTAGGGTTTAGGGTTTAGGGTTTAGGGTTTAGGGTTTAGGGTTTAGGGTTTAGGGTTTAGGGTTTAGGTTTAGGGTTTAGGGTTTAGGGTTTGGGGTTTAGGGTTTAGGGTTGAGGGTTTAGAGGTTAAGGTTTAGGGGCTCACAGGACTCCGGGTGGAGGGTTTTTAGATGGCTTGCTTTCAGGGTTTATAGGGCCTACGGGGTTTCTTCTGTTCGTGCTTTGGAGAGCTTTGGCTGTAAATCATACAACATCCTCCAAGCAGAATGGCTGAGAGTGCACAGGGCATAAGGATTTCTGAGGTTTTCTTTGGCTTTATACCCTAAACCCTAAACCCTAAACCCTAAACCCTAAACCCTAAACCCTAAACCCTAAACCCTAAACCCTAAACCCTAAACCCTAAACCCTAAACCCTAAACCCTGCGCTCTCCGGTTTAGGGGTGGTAGGGCTGAGGACTTTCTACGGTTTAGGGGGGCGGCTCACGGTAAGCCCTAAGAACCCCTCAAAGCCGGAGTCTGACCCCTTCTGAACCCCAAGGATCGTTTAGGGTTTAGGGTTTAGGGTTTAGGGTTTAGGGTTTAGGGTTTAGGGTTTAGGGTTTAGGGTTTAGGGTAAAACTGTGACACCTCAAAACCCTTAAGTGAAAGCCCTTCATTCCCTCAAACCCATGAGGCCCCTCAACATCTTCCAACCTCAAAGACCTCAAGCCCTTGAAGCCCGAAAGGGTCCGTGTACCTAATTATTGTCTACTGGGGCCCCAAAGTCCTTGTATAGAAAGTACTTTAAGGCCCAAGTCGTCCCTATTTAGGTACATGGACCCTTAGGCTAAGCAGGGTTTGAGGTTTAGGGTTTAGGGTTTAGGGTTTAGGGTTTAGGGTTTAGGGTTCAGGGTTTAGGGTTTAGGGACCCTCAACCCTAAACCCCTATAATGGCCCTAAGGGTCCACAGGCCTTAATGGGGTAAGCTTGGGCTTAGGGTCTAGGGTCTCGGGTCTAGGCCCATCTAGGGTCTAGGGTCCAGGGTCTAGGGTTTAGGGTTTAGGGTTTTGGGTCTTAACGAGCATTTTGGGTGCCAAGCGCCTGGTTCAGCCAGGATTTGACGACGGGCACGTTCTGCATCCCCCCTGGCGCTGCATGCTTTTAGGGTTGACCGGGTTTAGGGTTGATAGGGTTTAGGGTTTAGGGTTTAGGGTTTAGGGTTGACAGGGTTGACAGGGTTTAGGGTTTAGGGTTCAGGGTTTAGCTATCCTGGAGATGGTTCAGGGGCTCAGGGGTTTTCAAAGGGACTTGCCGATCGTCCTGAAGTCTGAACCCAAGCTTCTGCACATGCATTCTCAAGACCCTACTTGGCAGTTCATGGTACTTGCTAACCAATGATAACTGTACCTACAACTGTACTTATCACCATATTAGGGCACTTAAGGGGCTTATAAGCGGGTTATGAGTACAGTTATAACTGGTTGATAAGGACCATGAACCTCCAAGTAATGGCTCTACTTCACCCTGACTTCACCTCCTTGACCCCTGCACCCTTGACCGACGGGCCTGGGGTCAGGGTTTAGGGTCTAGGGTTTAGGGTCAAGGGTGGTGGGTTTAGGGTTTCATTCGGTTTCGGGCTCAAGGCAGCTTTGCTTCTCAGGCGTAAGCGGACCGAGATCAGTCAGAATGACCCTGCAACCTAATAGGATTTAGGGTTTAGGGTTTGGGGTTTGGGGTTTAGGGTTTAGGGTTTAGGGTTTCTTCTCCCAAACAAACCGAGAAAATCGCAACACATCCTCAAAGCGCCCTTCGCCTACGATCCCTTGGAGCACCTGCATTACTGCGGCTCTTCGATAGCAGACCTCCCTTAAAACCAACACTGAAATCCGACAAGCCCAACCACCTGAAGGACCTAAACTTACCCTAAACCCTAAACCCTAAACCCTAAACCCTAAACCCTAAACCCTAAACCCTAAACCCTAAACCCTAAACCCTAAACCCTAAGCCCTAACCCTAAACGCTAAACCCTAAACCCTAAACCCCAAACCTGAAACCCGAGCCTGCATGCTGGCTGGACTTCTCAAGGTCAAGGAGGACCTTCGACATGACGGAGCCGGAAGAAGCTGTAGGGTTTAGGGTTTAGGGTTTAGGGTTTAGGGATGCTCAGCAGTCTCTCTCTCTCTCTCTCTCTCTCTCTCTCTCTCTCTCTCTCTCTCTCTCTCCTCCTCTCTCTCTCTCTCGCTCTCTCTCTTCTCTCTCTCTCTCTCTCTCTCTCTACTCTCTCCTCTCTCTCTCTCTGCTCTCTCTCTCTCTCTCTCCTCTCCCCCCCCCCCCCATAATTCCAGGGGTGGCAGGCCCAGATATCTTCCTAACCAAAGGCCAGAAACTCCAAACCCCAAGCCGCTCAATACCTCTCTATATGTGAAACTCATTGAACGAGCAAGGTTGTTTTCTGGGGATGGGCCCGCACTTTCCCTCCCAACCCCCCGAAATCCCCGAAACCCCCTAAACCCCCTTAACACCCTTAAACCCCTAAACTCCCAACCTTGAACCCCTAGAGCCTAAACCCCCCCAAACCATAAACGGGCTCAAACCATAAACCCTAAACCTAAACGCCCCAAACGCCCTCAACCCCCTCAACGCCCGAAACCCTCAACCCGAAACCCAAAAGCCCTAAAACCCTAAACTCTAAACCCTAAACCCTAGACCCTAAACCCTAAACCCTGAACCCTAAACCCTAAACCCACCAAGCAAAAGACACCAGGACCTCCAGCATGACCTGCAGCTGCTTCTTGACGTCCTGCGCTGTGCACGCACTTTGCTTTGGGGTTTAGGGTTTAGGGTTTAGGGTTTAGGGTTTAGGGTTTAGGGTTTAGGGTTTAGGGTTGAGGGTTGAGGGTTGAGGGTTGAGGGTTGAGGGTTGAGGGTTGAGGGTTGAGGGTTTGGGGTTTAGGGTTTAGGGTCTAGGGTTTAATGGACAAGAGCAACCTAGGAATCAAAAGGGTGTACCCTTTTTGGCTTGAAGGGGGTTTAAGGGAACCTAAGCCTTCATAAAGGGAATGAGGGCCTACTCTGGGTCCTAGCCATAAACCCTAAACCCTAAACCGGCAGCAGGTGCCGTCCTGCGAGAGCCGCTTGAGCGCGGTCTCAGACGGGCTCGCAGAGCTCTGATTGTCTGTCTCACCTGCTTCGAGGTTCATGGGCAGTCAGAAGTAGGGTTTAGGGTTTAGGGTTTAGGGTTTAGGGTTTAGGGTTTAGGGTTTAGGGTTTAGGGTTTAGGGTTTAGGGCTAGCACCCAGAGTAACCTCAAACGGGGGCCCTAAGCCTGCTTGAGGGTTCAGGGGGCAGTTAGAAGTAGGGATATACTATGTGCCCTAAAACAGGGCGCTGACCAGCTACAACCCTAAACCTTGAAAGGCTTGGGAGGATATGAAAAAGTTGGGGAGGGCTTTAGGCTGTAGGGCATTGGGGCTTGGGTCGAGGGCTTTATAGGGGTTTAGGGGTGTTAGAGTTTAGGGCTTGAGGGTTCAGGGCTTTAGGATCCGCTAAGCCCCGACAGTCGAAGCCCTAAATCCTAAACCCTAAACCCTAAACCCTAAACCCTAAACCCCCCAATTCGTCGCCCCTTCTGAGAAGCTCTCGAAGCCCAAGCCCTCGGCTCATTTGGGGTTAAGGGTTACGAGCTTAGAGTGTTGGGGTTTAGGGTCTTAGGGTTCAGGGTTTTAGGGTTTAGGGTTTAGGGTTTAGGGTTTAGGGTTTAAGGTTCAGGGTTTAGGGTTTAGGGTGGCCCTCCTCTCATGATCTTGGCAGCCCGGTAGGCATGATATAGGGGTCGGAGTAGTTACTAGTGAATTCCCTTAAGGTCCCTATACAAGTAGACTATAGTGCCCCCCAAAAGCCTATTCCAATTACTAAGGGCCCTATCTTATTGTGATAGGGTATTTGGGGTTTCGGGTTTGGGGCTTGGGGTTCGTAGCTTCCCCTAAAGCCTAAAGCCTAATAAAGCCTAAAGCCTAAAGCCTAAAGCCTAAAGCCTAAAGCCTAAAGCCTAAAGCCTAAAGCCAAAAGCCAAAAGCCAAAAGCCAAAAGCCTAAAGCCTAAAGCCTAAAGCCTAATAAAGCCTAATAAAGCCTAAAGCCTAAAGCCTAAAGCCAAAAGCCAAAAGCCAAAAGCCAAAAGCCTGAAGCCTGAAGCCTGAAGCCTAACCCTAAACCCCCGAGTCCCGCACCGGCATCGCCCGCCACCAAGAAGGAGTCAAGTGCCTTGCAGCGGTTCGGCGATTCTTCTCGAGCCAGCTTCTCTGACCATACCGTTCACACACACATATGAAAATGTATTTATGTATACATATAAATAAATAAACTCATAAACAGATAAATGAATAAATAAATAATAAATAAATAAATAAACAAATAAATAAATAAATAAGTATATATATATATATATGTATGTGTGTGTCTCTTAATCTGCACCTCTATCTCCATCAATCACTGTCTAGGGGTTAGAGCTTAAGGTTGAGGGTTAGGGCTTAGGGTTTTTCCCACATAAACCCCTAAACCCTATGCGGAGCTGCAACTGGTATTGTAGAAAAGAGTTAGTGTTGAGAGTTGGAAGGGTTAATGAACCCGGAAATCATGTTTGGCTCAAGATGGGCTTGAACAGAAAGCCACAAGTTCAAAAAGTAGTGCCTGGGTTTTTAGGGTTTGGTAAGGGTGTGGATTCCTTCCCCCTTTCCTTCCCCCCTGGGTTGCTCTTATCCGTGTTCTTGTTTGTTTCTTGGTTCGATCTGGGGAATATAGGTTCAGGGCGATTAGGGGAGTTGATTTCCTTCCTTGGTTGTCCCCCCGTAGGTTATGAGCCCAAATTAGGTTCCCTGCGGTTAAGTGTTCTTTCAAGGTTTTTGGGATCAAGAAGCAATGCCTTCTCCCAAACGATGGCTCCAGCCTTCCTCGGATGGTGGACAGAATGGTGGAGCTGGAAATGGTGCAGCTGAGTCTCTGGGTGAAAGGACGGTGCTGGAAGAGGTGATGCCTGGCGCTGAAGAACATCTGGAAGAAGCCTTGGTTGCAGAATACTCCAATGTGGGTATAAATCCCAATGTGGATATGGTTAGCAATGCTGAAGCTGAAGGACGTGCTGTTTCTGTATCGCCAAAGCCTGGTGAAAAAAGGAGCTGGGACGCGACTGGTGGTATAGACCGTGAAATGGAGGTGACTGTTTTACGCGTGTTGCACAAACATGGGTATCAGCCGTCTACTTCGACTTCGGGCCGAATGGTAGACCAAGGGTCTCAGACCAATCTGAGTGGAGAAGTGCTGCAAGCTGCCAGGAGGCCTCTGAACAAGATTAAAGGGGATCCCTCGGCGAGTTCCCTGGGTGGTGGAAGCGGTTACGAACAGAAGGGTGCGGACAGCTTTGAAGTTGCACCAACTGCTGAATACGCCATGGGGGAAGAGGAGATCTTACAGATGGAGGCTGAAAGGTTGCGCCAGTTGTCAGAAGAAGAGGATGAGATGCATCAAGTCTCTGAAAGGGATGGTTTTCGGAAGGATGAGCATCTGATCAAAGCGTGCGATGGGACAACGTGGGAATGGCACTTCCACGAAGATGGGAGACAATATTACTACTGCCTGGATACGCAGGAAAGCAAGTGGACGCTGCCGGATGTAGGTGAAAAGGTGAAAAGCGACAACGTGGTTGGGTCTCCTTCGGGCAATGGGCTGGAAGTGGAGACTGAACTGGGTCCTTCATCGACTACACCGACACCTGAGTCTACGAAGGCAATCCAGGGTAGTGTAAATAGTGTAGGTGAAAAAGATTTTTCCTCTGCCATCAGGGATAGCGGTCCTAGGGCTGGTGGTGACGCCCCGACCTCGGGTTCTCCTGATGAAGAGGGGATTTCTGGAAACCGAGCAGACATCGCTGAAGCTCAACATCTGGATCGGGAAGAGATGGAGGCGCTTTCTGAGGGTGTGGCAGCGGTGGAATCGGTGGGTCCAGAAGAAAAAATGCCCAATTTGGAGATCGGAATTGTGTCGGCTGCAGAAGAGCGAGTGGTGGATGTGGTACCTGTCGTTCAGGAAGATGGTCCTGGAGATTTGGATGACGGAGGGAAAAAGTCGTGCGTTACGCCTGAGGAGGTCTCTTCGGTTGGTGCCAATGATTCTGCCATTCAGGGGAAAAAGGAAACTTCTGAAACTGCTGGAGACACGGTTGATCGGAAAGATGAGGCCTGGAGCGCCAATGAAGCGCGGGTCAACGTGCCAGATAGTACCTGGAGTGCAGAAAAAGCACGGGTTGAGGCGCATATGGTGTCACGTTCCGCGGATGACTGCAACAATGGGGCGCAGGTCTCCGTAGCAGCTGACGATGGAGGTTCACAGGTGGACGCACTGGTGCAGCCTGAAGTTAGCAGCGAGGAACGAAATGGCGAAGGCTACACCGGAGCCAATGAGGCAGCTGTGGTCAGCAACAGTGGTGATTCTCTTTTGGAAACCATGGAGCCAAAGGAGCCTGCGGTGGAAGAAAATGTGCCTACCGCGGATGACCAATCCAATAGCCCTGTAGTGGAAGAAAATTTGCCTGCTGCAGAAGGTTTGAAAAAGGACTCCAATGGTGGGTCCACTCCCAGGAAGGGAGAAGTGTTGCCATCTGAAAGCTCGCCGGAAGTCGACACCGAGCGAACTGTAACGGATGAGGCAAAGCCATTGGCTGGAAAAAAGGAAGGTCCTGAGCCCCTGGAGCACAAGATGGATGATCTTGTGGGACTCACGTCGGAGCAGGACGAGCAGTGTGACCCAAAGGTGGAAATAAAGGATGTGCCAGGAGCCGATGATACAGAGATGGTTTCTGAAGAGCATGCAAAGAAAGTGCCCCGAGCGGGAGCCTTGGAATCACCTGGGGAACATTGTTATCAAGAGGGAGATGAGATCATTGGTCTAGTGCGCTGCATCAATGGGTATGGAGCCTTTTTGGACCATGGAGATATGAATGTATTGGTTCCTGCAGAAGGGAACAATGTACATCAGTTCAAATTTGGTGATACTGTCAATGGAACAGTGAAACGAGTGGAAGATGACGGTACCATAATCTTGGACACCTTTCTGGTTTTGGAAGAGGACGAGGAGGACTCCTCTTCGACGCTGCGCAAATGGAAAGACAGCGGCTGGGGTACATGGTGGACAGGCTCATGGCAGACTGGTCAATGGTACCAAGGTTCCGACGGTCAATGGGACTGGAAGTCGGAAGAACGGCAGTCTCGCGAGTGGTTTGCCGATTCAAAAACATCCTCTAAGGAACAAGAGGAGGCTGAGCAGAAGCAGCTCTATGGAGAAAAGATCTATCGAAATCTCCTGGAAGATGAAACAATAGATAATGACTATGTGGGCAAAATCACTGGGATGTTGCTGAGTCGTCCAATGGACGTGGTTATGGAGTGTATCGCAGATCACACATTCCTGAACGTTGAGGCTCGGAGCGCATACAGCATCTTGCAAAGTGATGGTTGGAAGCCCGAGGGGACAGAACGTGCAGGTTTGGAAAAAACAATCACTTTTTCCCGGAAGCAGTACCATAACGCGCTCTACGAACTGGCACGCAAGAAAAGGAGATTTAGTGGACCAGTCGTGGGTGAAACGGTGGCAATGTTGCTGAGCAAAGGGAAAGATGAGCTTTGGAACGAGCTGTGGTTGGATACCAAGCGATTTCTGCAAGAGCTTGATGGTGCAATCGAGGAGATGAGTAAGAGGGAAAACAGGCCAATGGAAGCCTATATGGATCCTGATCAGTACAAAAAGGCTCACATGACTCCAAAGACTGTGTCACCTGGACACAGCAAGCTGTGCAGGTTCTCCAATCAAGGGAGGTGTCGAAATGGAGATGGGTGTTCCTATGAACATCGTCGTTATGGTGAAGGGTGGCCTGAAGGAGAGCCAACTGAGCCAAGGAACAGCCAAAAAACTGGTGACGAGGATGGGGACATCGGTGGCCCTCCAACTGATGAAGGTGCAGTGGATGAGGTGCAGCAGGAGCGGGAGGATTCGGCCTTCCGTGCCCAGTACAACTATGGCAAAGGGACATCAAAAGGTGAGCCTACGTTGGGTGAAACGAAGAAACGGCTGTGTCTGTATTACAATCAAGGTGGTTGTAAATATGGGACTGCGTGCAGGTATCTTCACGACGATGACATGGCATTGGAAGGGACTTGGGAGCCTGGCAAATCTTGGGACAATGCTTCCAGGAAAGCACTAAGGGACGCGGGGTTCCACCATTGCTGTTTCGACTACTATCTCAAAGGGAGATGTCGTGTGCGATTTGGCTGCAAGTATTCTCACGAAGAAATGTCTGAAGACCGGCTGGCCCAATTGAAGCATCTGGTGAATGTGGCGAACCATGTGTCATTTCAAAGGGGAAGAGGATTGGAGATTCCCGACAGGAACGCCTTTCAACCACCGGTAAGTGGGGGAGCAGAATCTTCGTCCTCCTCGGCACCAAAAGCGCTGCAAATGACCAATGTGTCACAAAAAGAAGGTGAAAAGGGTAATCTGGATGAAGCAGAAGATGATGAACAAAAGAATTCGGTGGCTGAGTCCACTGGTACTCGGCTTCAAAATCCAGAGGAGCCAATTGAAAATTGGATGGCTCGCAACGAACACCTTTGGGTGTATACCCCTCATGTAAGTGAGGTGATGATTACACTTGGTGTGACCAACGTGTCCGACTTGCAAGAGTTCATCTTTGTGGAAGATTTGGTTGACAAAGGGATCAACAAAGTGACAGCATGTAAAATCTTGCAATTGGTGGGTGGTGTCCGATATCGTCCGGGAGGACCGGAAAAAGCAGTTCCTTCCGATGCATCTGTACGAGTACAACAATCTTCTGGGAGCAAGGAAGCTGGAAGAGAGGCGGTGCGAACCCTCACTCAGATGCGTGAAGCTGAAGGCTCCGGTGCAAAAACGATGCCGAGAGGCTCCTATCGGGAGCTTTTTGATAAGGTCAGGTACCGTGACGCTTGGACGCTTGCGCAGAGGTCTCCACTGTGCGTACAGAAGCTGCAGTTGGTGGGAGTTGGAATGCCGCCGGTGAACCCACCAACAAAAAAGTATCGGTCAAGATCAAACCCTGTGAAAAGGGGAAGGCCCTTGCTGGATAAAAAACAGGTGCGACAGGTGCCACGCTCTCGTTCACAGCGACGAGCGCAGCCGGCGGAAGTGGTGGAGAAACCAAAACCACTGGAACTGAAGCCTCGTGGTGGGTTGTCGTA